ACACACACAGACAGACACACATCTCAGACTAGACAGTGTTTCAGATGATGACATGTGTTTGCTGACACACGCCCATAGTGTCTGAGTCATACACACAGTCGAGCCAAAGTCTTCGTAGAAATTCCTCAGTGGCCGAGGTGTGAAGCTGACCAAATGTGGATAACTTCTGACTGTGTTTCATTGTTTAATTAATTGTTTAATTGTTGTTTTATTTGGGTTTATTATTCAGAGAACAGGTGAATTAGCTGAAAATTCATTTTAACTTTAATTCTCGCTACTGCTTTGCGATGTGTGTACCGATGTATTAATATGTGCACTTATGTATGTCTGCACACCCAAATTAATGTATAGGCTTACATGTAATTAGAGCAGAGAATTAAGTGTCATGCACGTAGAGTAGGAGAAGAAGACTACTTGAATTGACTTATACTCAAAACAGTCTTCAATGTGACCAGTTTTGAAATATGATTTGATTTTACTGATCTGACGATGAGGTTTTGACTCAGCAATGACTGGATTTGAAACCTGACATGCAATTCTGGCCTCATGATGAAAGTCTATATACTCATGCTTCCATGTGTAAGTATTCCCCATTGTTTTCCTTCATTGCTGTTGCCAGAAAATTCGTTCCAAGGTGGAGCTGGAGCTTCAAGGCGTCCCAGAGGAACTGTCCCTGTCCTTCAACGCCACCTGTCTGAATGGAGAGCTCATCCCTGGCCTCAAATCCTGTTCTGGGCTCAAGATAGGAGACACGGTCAGACCATATTCCCTCTTTATTTTTGTTCGCTTTTGACCCATTAAAAACAAGTCTACTTTTGGCTCTCACAGTTCTACAAACGTGGAAATGAAAACTTGTAGGCAGTTGAACCAAAGAGTATTTCGCCTTATGGATTGTTTCATTTTAAGGATTTTCAGTGGGCTGATAAAAAAGGCTGGGAAAAAAAATGTATGCCCATATTGTGTTTGTCCAAGAACTCCAAACCAGTGTTGTAAAATGGCTGAGGCAGTTGTATCCATATTTAATAGTGTTAATACTATCATCCTCACTCCTATTTCACTGTTGCACACTAAGAGATGCATGGCAAAAGGCATTCTTCTCAATAAGACACGTCTCCATAAGTTAGAGTATAACTTTATTTTATAAAATTCCCTAAAAGTAAATTAGCTTTCATAAGAAATAAGGAATAATTATTAAGCTGAGCAGATGTAGGGCAAGAAAACGGTACTATAAAATCCTATAAAAAACATTCTTTCCCCTCAGCCAACATGTCCTATCTCTAGGGGGTAAAAATAACATGTTATATAGTTCCATACACTATTTTTCACCTTCATTTTGGTCTCTTTCCATTTCCTTTCTTGCTGCTATCTTATCTAAAGTCAGATTTTCCCCATTTCCTCGTGGTGTCAAAGAGCAGATGATGGAAAAAAGTGGATCAGCACTGTCTCTGATTTTGTCTTGTTTTCTTCTCTTTCCATACTTCTTCTGTCAACTCCATTCAGAGCAAAATCGCCTGCCTAAAGAGTTCTCTTTGTTTCTTTATTTTGCATTTTTTCTTTATCACAGCCTCTTTGGCTCTTTTCCCTGTTCTCTCCTCACTCCAGGTGACATGTTTTGGCCTCCACACATTTCTTTCTCTCTGCCTCAGCTCCCCTTATTTTTGCCATATATGGCTGTCTCTCCAGATGTAGTAACTGCCCACTTTTGGACATTTACCAGATTTGGATACAATGCTGAATGAACAATTACTTTGACTAAATACACATGGAGGCATTCCTTGTGTCACGTCTTTGTGCTGTTTCCACCAATAGCAATTAGACAATATTCACAATTTGAGTGGCTATTAAATGAACATTAACTGAACCATTAAAGTGCTGTTACATGTTACATAATCTAGAGCAGGGTGATAGAGTAGCATGGTTGTTTTTTACAAAGTGTGTCTGTGTGTGAGTGTTTAGATAGTGTCACATATTGTTGCTGATACATCAAGAATGTCAGAAAAACAGATTTTTTTTGGCAAATTTAATTGCATCTGGATGCAGAATCTCTTTGCCTTGACATGATTTGATTTTTAAATGTAAATTCCCTCCTCTCATCCAGGTTTCTTTCAGTGTGGAGGCCAGAGCTCGTGGTTGCCCCAAACAAAAGAAGAAAACCTTCATCATTAAGCCGGTCGGCTTCAAGGATTCCCTCCCCAACACTGTCACCTTTGAGTGCGACTGCAAATGCCAGACCAAAGCCCAGCCCGATAGCCCCAAATGTAACCACGGCAATGGCACCTACGAGTGTGGCATCTGCCTGTGCCACCCAGGTCGCTTAGGGCCACATTGCGAGTGTGCAGAGGGTGACTATAACCCCACAGAGCAGGACCGCTGCAGCGGACCCGCAGGCTCTGGAGGACCTCAGTCAGTCATCTGCAGTGGCCGTGGAGACTGTGTGTGTGGCCAGTGTGTGTGCCACAGCAGTGACTTTGGAAAAGTCTGGGGAAAGCTGTGTGAGTGTGATGACTTCAACTGCCTGCGCTACAAGGGGGAACTGTGCTCAGGTAAGAGCTAAAATTATTTTTACTAATATAATTATTATACTTATTATACATGCATCCATAATTTGAGTTCAGTGGTGAAATTTGTCAGAGTGGAGTGGGTCGTAGTGGTGGTTTAGTGGAGATGCAGAGCTGGACGTTATCGGCATAGCAGAGGAAGTGGAGACCGTGAGGTTACCAAAGGGGGGCATGTACAGGATGAACAGGAGACAACCTAGCACCCAACTCTGGGGGACACCTTGGGACAGGTGTGAGCAGCTGGAGGATATGCAGTTGTTTGATACGATGAACTTTTGTCTGTTTGTTTAAAGATATGACCTTAAAGCCAGAGTTAAATATTGAAGCAAAAATGGCAAACATTCACAGTTTCTTCTCAAAGTATTTGCTGCTTTTCTCTTTTTTTACCATTGTGCATTGAACATTTTTGTGTTGTGGACTGTTCATAGGACAAAAAAAGAAATTAGAAAACATAACTTTGGGCATTTTCTTATTTGCTTCCTTGCCAAGAGTTTGATAAGCAGATTTATAAGACTCTGACTCTTAAACATAAAGCTGGAGCCAGCTGTTCGTTAGCTTAGCTTAGCTTAACGTTAAGACTGTAAACAGTTGGCCTAGTTCTGTCCAAAGGTATCAAAACTTGCTTAGCAACACCTCTAAAGTTCACTAATCAACGTGCTATATCTTTTTAATCTGTACAAAGTGTAAAATTGACATGTGACTATTTTTTGGCTGGATGAAGTTGCCAGCCAGGCTAACACCACAAATAGCTGTTTCACCATTTCCAGTTTTTTAC